GCTCTTTCCCCTGTGGGAAATAGTAGATTCTATATACGACCACACTGAGCTCCATTTTAAATATTTTCAGCACCAGACAGAGGTTACAACAATTCCACTCACAGTATTACTTAACTTTAGTGTCTATAATCACCAGGTGAGTATTTTGTAGGGCTTTTAAAACGCTTTTCAAGACTGAAAATGACTACAGTAGCTTTCTACTGCAGGCCAACTCTTGCTTTGCACTGAATTGTAGCAAGTCATTACTATTTATAGGCACTGGTTACAGCTTCATTGACAAAGTACAACTGCATTGCACTTTAAATCTTCAAATAACTTTTGAAAAAAATCAAATCATAATAAATATGGTTCTTGTCATGTCATTGCTAATATTTCCCTGTTCAAAAGGGAATCACTTAGCTGGCTGAGATAACTACCTCTCTACTGAGCTAATTTTCATGTAATTATTTTGTTAGCTTTGACTCAGGATGCAGTTTCACAACCACTGAAAGCTGATTTAAGTCTCTTCAGCCAGATATTCCTTTTTTTGACCAAAATATTTGGCTGAGGTGAAGGCAAGAGTTCCATTTCTGACAATAGATAAACTTACATGTTTTGAAAGGCCAAAGCCAGTGTATCTTGACTGCAATCAAGATCAGTCTCTTGCGCATTGAGTGTTGTTAATGGCAAAATACAGGGCTCACATGCAACTGCAATAGGGATTCCAGGGTCACCAATCTGGACATCAGCAATTGAAAAGATTCTCATAAAAGTATCCCTCTGGCACCACTGCATACAGAGGAAGTGGCATAGCAGCTCTTACAATGGGGAATGCTTTTCATCTTTGGTTCTGAGCTTCTTCTGCTCCTCTTTTCTACACTATAAATCTTATTACTCTAGTCCTTGCTCTGAAATTAAATGCAAAATTCACTACATCTTTTTAACTTCCTTTAAACTTCTTTGGTAACACAGAATCATCATAGGCCTGTTTCAACTGGCTAAGTGTGTTGCAACTTCTTCATGCTTGCAATTAAACTTCAGAAACTGAAAAAACGAAGTCCTGACTTCAGATACACAGTACATGTCACAAGAACTATAACGTAGCACCATGGTCTACTTTTTGTTATAATAATTTTGCACAAAATCACAGTAATATGGTATTGATGCTGAGCATATCAGTAACAGTTTAAATAAAATTATGGTCACCCCAGAGCTAAGTTTTAGAAACTTAGCCATCACAGTTAAGGATGTAGTTAAGAAAATTCCAACATGCTACAGTAAGATAAGATAAAGAAAGAGGCATTTAAATCACCATAAGCTGTCCTGTACTGATGTTGCAAAGGGAAAATCTAATCAGTCTTAACATGTTAGTTAACCTTCTCTGGAATCAGAAATACTAAATGTCTACTAAATCATAAGTGAAATATACTGTCTGAATTAAGTTGTTAAAGTACTGGACAAGCATTCTACAGTACGCATGGATTTCTATTAAGAGTAACCTTAGTTCTGAGTTTCCCGGGTTTGTAACTTTTGCATATAAGGATGTTTTAACTATGCTTTTGATGTATATTCTCCAACTCATCTCTTTCACAATGAGACACAACCTACAGGGTTTTGAGAGAATGCTACATTTTCACATATGAAGATCAGAAATCAAGTGGTGCTGATTAAAATAAATCATTGCGGCTAATCATTTTACATGATGAGTTTTATTGGTGCAGTCCTATGCATATGAAATAGATCCTGAGTGAACTGTAAGAAATTGAGAAAGAAAAACTGATAGAAGCAAAGATATCTGCTAAGAGGAAATAGTTTTTCATCTTCATTCTCCACTAGTGTGCTCTATTTTCTCTTACTTTGGTTGTGTTTAATTCCTCACTAACAGACCCAGCAGTGATTAAAAAAATTACGTAATCTGCCCAAAGCAGTCATATAGATGAACTTAACTCAAGATCTCAGTAAAGAAACCACACTTTTCCACGTTGCTCAGTTAGTCACCGTGACAAGTTAGGGTTTTAATGACAATTCTCATCTACTTTAAAATGTTAATTTGGTATTAATTGTCTGACAACTAAGAAAAAGAGAGGGGCCTGATCAGATGCTGCCTCTCCTATGGCAAACTGAAGCGTGCTTTTGTAAGGAGCTGCCAATAAGCAGTCCTCAGACTGATTGTTATGCAGAGTAATATCAAATGAAAGTAGGTCTCATCTTGTTCATTTTCCTTCTGCTTTTACAAAAACCTCTCTTTTTCGTTGCAGGTTACAGAATGCTGATATCAGCTGCTTTCTTGCCTTGATTGCTTGGGATGATTTATTGCAAGTCATATTACTGCAAGGTCATAGGTGCAATTTGCATCCTCAGGATGTTGTGGTTCTATACAATGCAAACGCTGCTAGACAGCAGCAATTAACTTTGTGAATAATCCTCACACAAATCGCGAATAAGGCACGGCTACATATAAAAGTGGAGCTGTGGACTACAGGTAGTCAGGGAGAAGTTGAGATAAGAAATTCCACAAGACTTATTCAGAATAAAGATGGCTAACCAGTGCTGAAAAAGGGATAAGATGCAAAAATCTCAGGCCACTACGATATTTAGGTACAGTGGCTAAGAAAAAAAAAAGTAGAATAACAGTCATTAACACTTATTTCTTTTTGATTTTACCTTAAAACTTCTCTAGAATTTGGCATACTTAACACACTCTCATTTGATGCAACATTAAAATAAAGAACAGTTCTTCTTCATATTCAGTTCTTTGGGAAGTAAACCACTGCAATAAGGAGCAGCAATAGGAATATTATTCAAGGAACAGGCATGATCATTATGTTATTTCTCTAGCACTCAATTGCTCTAGGTGAAAATTTGCTTTCAACAGCCAACAAGTTTAGGAAAATAATAATAAAAAAAAAAATACTCACAGCTTTGGTTTGGCAAGCACGGGAGGTGGCTCCTTTGTGGGTGAAAGCAAGACAGCTGGAGAGGGCATGGATTTATCACTGTTTGGACTGCTGTTAATCATTCCGTTTACTCCATGAATGGGATGAATACGATTTGTTTTTTTCTCTGATGAATTGTGCTGTAATTGAAGGGCTGTCAGATCAGATCTCAATTCAGTGCTGTTTACCTGGTGGGTCTCAGTATGTTTTTTAGGAGGAAGCTCAAGAGAGCTAATTTCAACTGGAGGAAGTGATGGAAAATGGTTGAAATCATCACTGTTGGATTCTCTTGTCAACAAATCATGGTTAGAGCTTTCTGAGTTGGCTAAAACAAATCAAAAAGAGTCTCTTCAACACATCATACACAGAGTACAGGGCATAGGCATACTGTACTTTCAGTTCATTAAATGTAAGATCACTTTTGTTTCTATGCAGTAGCTATATCAAGCAGATATTTTTCTAGAACTCCTGTTGGTAATTGACGCCATATTAGATGCATGACTGGTTATTCATTTCCTAACTTTCCTTGCGCCTCAAGAGGGATGGAAAAGAAACCTATGGCTCCCTCTAAATCTGATCCAGAAATCCAGCTGCTAATTGAAAGGGTCAGATACTATTGGGCAACAACAGCTGAATCAGCATTTCTTCTTCCTGGAGTCTCAATATCTTTTAAGAACAAGTCATTTATAAATGCTGAAAGACGTGTTATATATGGCATGCTTGCAATGGCATCTGGGTTAGTGCATTCAGCAATAACATGTATGCATACGCATTACAAAACTAAACACTCCATGTTTTACACTTTACGAAAACAATATACCCTCGGTAGCATATTTCATTTATTTTCGTCTTGTCTCTGCTGCCATCTAGCCCCAGAATCCTTATGCCTAAAAATATGCCAAGGCTTGTGACAGCCACTTTTAAAAATGTATTTTGCATAAATAAAACTATTAAACTAGGAAATGAGCCACTAAATGCATTCAGTTTGCTTTCAGTGATGTGAACCATCTGAGGTTGACAATATGATTTATATATATTGATATAAGTATTGACAGGTAGCTGTCTCCCATTTTACAAATGATGCAAGTGAGACAGAGGTGTGAGACTATCCTTGGATGACAGTATGTATCAACAATAGTATTGGAAAGCCAGGTTTTTAGCTGTGCAATTGCTTAACTGGAATGGAATTCAATTAAGGCTTACTGAGGTGCTCATTTCTTGAGTAATAAGTCTGGGACAGATATATTTTAAGTAACACAAGTAAATAAGATCAGTTTCCTGGATTTCTTAAAGGTTTCCATTTATTTGCCAGAATTATTGTGTGACCCTTTCTTTCTTTCCCTCTTTATTCATGCATGTAGTGTTTTATCATCAATCTTATTAGCAACACACTAGCTGCTTGAGGAATACCTTTTATTTGCTATTTTATCTTTTGCACGTGTTCTTTTTGGAAGAGCCCTACCCTCTCTCTCTGTAATGCTCAAGAAAGAAACAATGCCAGTTCAGCTGTTACCACCTGAGAAGGTTCTTGACTCTCTCAGTTAGTAGCTGGATTTTTGAAACAGATTTAGAGGGACCCATATAGTTCCTTTTCATGCTATTTGAGAACAAATAAAACTACATTCTCCCACCCAACAACAATTTTTACATTCAGATTATATCAGTCAGTGCTGGGGGAAACTTGGGAAGAGTTCAAAACTGAAAAGGAGCTCTACCAAAAGAGTCCCTGTCTTAGAGCAGCTCTTCCACAAAGGAATCAGATTGATAATGTCCCAGGTATTGGGTAAATTAATTATTTAAGATCTCTGATACAAAATCCTCCTTTCCTTTGTCACATACCTGAGCAGATAATCAGTTGCGCACTGCTTGTTATTGACCCATGTTCATTTGTTGCTGTGCACGTGAAAACTCCTGAATCTTCAGGAAATGTTTCTGCAATTACAAGGGTACATATCTCTTCTGCAAATAAACAGAAAAATGAACAGCATCATAAAGTGTTTGAAGTACCATGTGATATCTTTGCACTGCATGTCAGTAGGACACCATAAAATGCTCCAAAGACAAAGAAATGCCAAGAAAACTGTAAAAAAGCTTCCAAAGGATATAGCTTTAATGAAAATCACTCCGTATGTGCAACAAGTAGATTTACTGAACTAAGTTTTCAAAAGGGGCCTGTGTTGAACAACAATTTTGCACTCCCAGGCCTGCATAATCATTTTACACACCCAGTAGCTCATTTTTATGTAGGACTAGTACATATGCATACAAATCAACTTATCAGTTTCCATTTACAACCGGTAACTCCCAGCTCTTCTTGAATCTCTGTGCATAACATGAACAGTACGAATGTCTATTTAAAAGAAACCACACAAAAAGTATTCGGCATACTGAAATAAAGTACGAAATAGTATCATTTTTTATAAAATTCTAGCTATAGGAAAAAATTCTAACACGTATTGATTTTCCTTTCAGGTCTAAGAGTACACAGTGTTGAGATCATAGCTCAGTTTGTGACTTTGACATCATTCTTTTCTTTCATAATTTTCTGCCTTCAATACAACTTTTCAGATCTAAGTCCCATCCCGAGTAAAACCACAAAATATTTTGTCATTGGAACCATTTCACTCTTCTATATAAACTGACCAGAATTAAAAATCTTGGATGCACAAGGTATGCCCCTAACACAGCATGGGAAGATGACCTGTCTCTGTCTCTACAGCAGTGAGAATGGATAAATGGAAAATCCAGCACAAAATAACATCCCCAGAAATTCTTTAGAATGCCGGGATACAGATGTATTCTGGGCCTGTTCCAAATCTGGTCATGCTACTTTGATATGCCATAATATATGCTGCCTGCCTTAATTACAGCAGGGCCCCAGTCAAAAAGCTTGTATGAAAGCTGGGCTGCTCATATTTCAGGTTGAGTCTCATAGGATTTTTTTTCTAAATCAATTTTATCCATTATAATGGGGATGTATTTGATTATCTAGGCATAATTTTTCCAGACTCTTCAAAGAAGTCAAAAGAAGTCATTTTATTTTACCTCCCATTGTATTTATTTTCTTTTTAACTGATAATATAGCTAATCTAAATAATCCTAGCATATACACAGTATACCTAGATAATTTTAGTCCTGGACTAAAAGCTAACTCCAGGCCAAGGCAGCCATAGGCTTCTTTGGTTAATTAGGAGTTTCTTCTGATTACACTCATTTTGTAGCCCCAAGATCAAACCATGGAAAATCATTTGAATACAAAATATATTTCACAGTTTTACAGAATTCAGTTTCATAAAAAATGCATTTTGGATATTTACATACATCCTATATACTATAACCAAGTCAGTGGAATATAGCTAACAAAAGCAAAATTGAAAAATGAGGCAAAATATTTCAGATTCGAGTCAGTTTTGCATGAAAACTATTCTGCAGAAGAGCTACAGTTAGGCTAGCTTCATTTCTTTCTGTTTAAACAACAAAAACATTTCCTAGTAGTTTTCTTTTTCCTTCCTAATTTTCATTGAGGAATGGCGAACCAGTATTTCATTTAGTTAACAAAACTTTAAGGAATTTTTCACTTTTAAATGACAACGTATCCAAGAACTTTCTGTGCTGGAGACGGGCTAAAAATGAATGACTAACTAAAAATTTGGCACAGAGTTGTTTTTCAGATAGCAGAACACGCTTTTTTTGGCAACACAGACTAGTCATTCTGTGTAGCTGCATGAGGCATGTCTGGTAGTACTGTAGCACTTGGATCTTATCTGACCCAGATGAAGATTAATGACTCATGAAAGGTCTTATCAGGAAAGTAATGGGTAACACACGCTAGTTTTTGGACTACTGAGATCAGCTTTTTTAGAGTCTTAGTGTGTCGTAAGCAGCTTTAGGCTATATCGTTAAACACGTGTGCATCCTCCTGGTTTGAACTGTCTCTGGGGATGCAATTTGATACACAGAGCACAATAGTTTCCCATTAAATGAACAGAAGAATTCTGAAAGCTGGGTATTTCAGGACTGCAAATGGAAATCATTCCCATCATGCTGAGAACTATTGTCTGAGCGAGGGCAAAGGTACTACTACTGATATAGCAGTCAGCAGAATTCCTATTTTCCAAACAGCATAGCTAATTAATACATATCGTTCTTCCAAATTTTTTAAGTATGTAATATGATCACACGAGAAAAGCTGATCTTCACTTTTCAGTGATAAAATAAGTCTAATGGATTCTACCATGATATGGTTTGCTTAGTTAAGTAGCACATCTGAAAATTATACATGGTAAAATTCCAGTAATACCTCTAAGAGAAATTTACAGTAAATTAGTAATGAAAATAATCAGTTTAAAACTCACTCTCTTTGGCTGGAAGACCAAACTAAAACGAATAGATGATCAATTATGAGAAAACTGGCTAAACTGAAAACATTTTAAAATAAGAAATAATCAAAAGGCAGCTCGGGCAAAACACAAGCGCAATCAACATAGTACCGTTGTCTTTAGTTGTTTTGCTTCCCCCAGATCAAGAATCTCTGACCTTCAGATCCTTGCTAAAAGGCTAACTATTTTACATCAATGTAAGGCATCGATATAAAATACTATTTTGACAAAAGACAGTTCTTCAAAGAATTCTGTAACATAAGCTAAAAGCATAATTCTCTGAGTATTTTCCAAGTTTATAGCCTCACGTATATAATTATTTTTCTTTCTGTTGCTATGCTAAGTAGAATCTGATGATCTGAAGTAAATAATGTCTGTTCTACTTCCCAGCAATCATCAGCTGACATATAATTTCATCACAAAAATGTGTTCCAGAAAGCAGCTCTGAAATGCTGTTCTCAGGGCCTTAAAACATATTTAACACTTGACTAAATGAATACAAAAGCATTCTGTTCACTGGAACATGTAAAATGCTTAGGCATGCGAGTACTTGACTATTTTTTCAGTTATTTAGCAAGAAAGATTACATTTTACAGGGTAATCCTTCCCCTTTATGGCTCATGAATCCATTAGGAAGAACTAATCTTTTCTAAGACTAAACTCCAGAAAACTATTGAAATTTTAAAAATTTCATGACTGATAATGTGTTTAACTCCAGAATGCTTCTGCGTATCACTCACTAAAGGTAAAGTATTTCTTAGACCTGCAGCTTTAACCTCCAAATGTGATCATTAGCCTCCTCCACTGTAATGTATACATACAGTCCAGAGAAACAGACAATGCTTAACTCTTTTTATTATGATGCAATGGACAGAGTCATTTCTATGTATGTAGGTTCAAAGCCATAAGAAAGTTTCCTGCCATAAAAACAAATACAGTGGGAAGTCACAATGGTGGTTTTCTGTTAAACCTCCCCTCAAAACCCTAAACTCAACCCTGCTGTCTTGTAGAAAACCTGTTTCTCGTTCTCCCTCTTGCTCCCTTAGCACAACAATATGCCCATCAGGTAACTGCTACTCATTTGGGAATTTGTGAGCCTTGGACAGATAGAGAATGGAGAAGTGTAAAAATAGAGAAGTACTGAATACGTAGAGTTCTAGCAAAGACAAAGAGAAGCCTCAAATAAAAATATTCGATGGTAGCATCCCTGTGTTGTAAACACTTTCAACTTTCAGTAAGAAAAATTACAAAAAATTATTTTCGTTTACCTGATTCTGATGTTCTGTATCTATCTTTACCCAGTCAGGCAGCAATTCTGGATTATCTAATAGGCTATATGCCACTCGCGAAATGGAAGGACAAGTTCTTGAAAGATATATTGAACTGACTAAGTCTGAAGATATCTCAAACAGCACTTAGAAAATACTTAGGAAAAAAAGGACAACAGCAAATGAGATGGCTCACAAAGCCATGCATTTTTAGGGTACTGAATTAACATCAGGGCTGCACTGCTACATAACACAAAAATATGAAACAAGACTTCTACTGAGGCATGAATATACCACGTCAGAATGGACACCTTTTATAAGTCAAGATGTTTTCCTCATCCTCTGGCCCCAGATCATCTTACATCTTCATGTAAATTCAGGTATAAGCAGTTAACACAGAAAATCAGTACTTTCTGAAGACAGTTTAGAAAACCCATAATCCTCTGGTAGAATACTAGCCATCAGTACCTTTTTCATCAGTGTGCATCAGGAACATCTACTAGGCCTGTAAGATTTTCATCTACTCTTGGCAAATTGCAACTGTCTCATTCTATCCGGACAGTAGCCCCAGTTTGTCAAGTGGCTCTTGGAATCAGTTTTGCAACCATTTGAGAAGACCAAGCACAGCTGATTTGTCATAGAGCAGATTTTGTAGTTTGGACCCTAGATGCTCAAGGTGTCTGAAATCTAGCCAGTTCAGGTACCGATAAATAGGAATACTGCAATGAGATCAAGGACTTTAGCTCCTAAGTCAGTGTCCAGGGTTGAGAAAAGACTAAGCCAGTGTCAGGGACAAGGAGAACTTCATGCTAAAGCTACGTGCTCTATATAAAGTATATGCTAAAGCTTATATTAAAGCAATTATGATGCTATAGGTGCTTAAGCCAGCTAAATTGAAGTGTATGCCTAGATCAGCCTATCCAGCAACATAACTGTGATGATTAATTCACCCCAATAAGCTTTAAATATTTACAATTACAGAGGCATACTAGCAGTCAGTTTAAAGTCACATAGTACAAAACAGATCAGAGGTTTGCTTTGAATTTGGAAGCATCAACAAGCAAGGACAGTCTGAGCAGCTAGATTTAAGGTGGGGTCATTGACAGGACCAGCATTCTGTAGGTATGCTGGGAGAGCAGAGTACAAGTGAAAATTTAAGTGACGAGCAATAGCACTGAGGTTGATCAGACCACCTTTAATGAAGGATATTTTTTGTTCTTTTAAGGCTTTTCTCTTCATTTGGAATCCTGAGTCACCCAGAATTTGGAGAGTGCTGTCCTCAAGCCCATCTTCTGTCCTCAGTAGTGAAAGCAGTAGCCAGACTCTTAGTCATAATTCTTTTGTTTTCATGAGTGCTGAACTATGTGAGGGATCCAACATGTATGCTGATCCACTGAAGCTTCTGTGTTTTGAACATCATCAGCCACCAGAAAGTTGACATTCTTGGTGAGGAGGAGGGAGGGAGGATTTCTATGACCTTTGTCATGTATTTTCAGTTTAAAACGTTACACAGAAATATGTGGGCATTTCCAAGGAGTTACTTACTAGAGATGGAACTTTGTGCCATAGCAGCCAGACAGAGAACCAAGAAAGCACAATCCAAGAGAAACGATGACTACCTTTTGAAATGTTTTTAGTCAACATATACAGTATTGTGCTTAGAAAAAAAAAAGTATATATATTTAGCAATTCCCTGGCAATATAAGAAAAATTACTTCATATAGTTTTCTTCTTACATGCCGTCAGACAATTGTTTTAATGTAATTCAATACAGTTTGTGGCTGCCTTCAGACAGCTGAGTAATGGTCAAAGTATCAACAGCTGGCAAATGACTCTGTGGGATTTTTCATTCTCAGGCAGCCTGTTCTTTGAAGGATTCAATCAGTATAAAGTCAAAATGTCAAAGAAAGGAGTACAGAGCAGGTAATTTGACAAACTGTGATGTTGGCTTTAAGTAATCTGACTAGCTATTAATTCACAAAGCAGTCTGGAGAGATTTGTGATGCAAGCTGATTTCTGTCTAGACAGAAAGAGGAGTGTAAAACACATTAGGGTAGATAGAATGTACCAAAAAAAAAAAAAAGTAACCAGAAAAACCTCTTGCTTCATAATTTCTTACCTGTGTGAGTTCATGGAACATTTCTTTTTTTAAAATCATTAATACTGACCTAACAAAGGATAACCAATGTTTCTGAGCACTGTTAAGTGTTTACTGGCAGCTAGACTTTAGCTGACAAACAGCAATTAAAGCCCCACTACAGCTTCTTACAGCTTATGAAAAATTCCATGGAAGATGTACACTTGGGAATAATTTTAGAAATTATGTCCATCTCTCAAAATTCTGAATACTTCTCTACTACGGGCATGTTGGTTTCCTTACTGGATTCCTGCACACATTCTCATCATCTGCACTGAGTAGCAGTTCTTGTTTGCTTATGAGCAATTTCCTCTGCAGGTATTGTTTTGTCTGGCTTCTTAGAGTCTGCATTACATCATAAACCAGTGCTGTACCTATTGCCTTTCTGGAACCTACCCATCTCTTACTGTAAAAATTCTAAGATCCTTAATGACATCCTAAGCAATAGTGTTACTTATTTCAGGTATTACCAGTATTACTATTAATAAACAAAACATGGCCTGTAATTTATGACAAATGGAAATATTTACATTTTGCCCGAACTTTACTAATTTACATACCCTTCGTATGCACAGGATCAGTTCCTGCACAAATAAGCCAATGGGGGTTCTGTCACTGATTTCAGTGAAGAGTAAGACACATTGCACATTATTTAATGGGAGTTAGTAGAAACTATCACAACAGAAAAAAAGGTATACCAGTGATACACATACAAATCTTACAGCGATAGTACTTAGCTCAGTGAAGTCAGGGAGGAAAAAAAGACCAAACTGGAACTTTTTCACTGGCTTTAGATAGCAGGAGGGGACTTATTAAAAATAATACAACAAGATTACAATCATGAAAAAAGGCAGCAAAAGGAAAGAAGAAAAGGGGGTTGGAAAAAGAACACTTTTTGATTGCTGAAATCTTGGAATTCTACTATGTGAATATAAAAACTCAGAGTGCCCTTTTTTTTTGAATCAGCTTTTGCTCACATCTGTCAAGCTAAACTGGAAAAACTAGCATCTAGTGGTTGGGTGTTATGAAACTATTATGAGTACAATTCGCGTGATGGAATTTCGTGGGATTTTTTTTCTCATTAGCTTGCAAAATGCTCGTAGTCTGCGAATTGAGTCTGCTTGAAAGTTTAGGCTGCAGGGCTCTCTTTGCTGGTTTGAATGGAATTTACTGTTTAACTAATAAAGGAATTGATGTAAAGCACAGTGTAGAGTATGGAGACTGTGATAAAGAAACATTGTCTTTAAGGGAGTTTCATATTACCAGTGCTCAGCAGAAACATTGTTCTATTTATGGCTTCAATGCAAACACAAAGAGCTAGTGAATCAAGAGATTATTTTTTCATATGATTCTTACCAGGTTCAGTTGCAGATCGTGGCTCTGCATATCACATCATGAGGAGGGGAAACAAACAAGAAAAAAAAGGTGTTAGAGATTACACTAGTAAGCAACTGTATATTAAGTGAACATGAAATACTGTAGACAAGCACAGAATCTGTGCAGAAGCATTAAAAATAGGGATGACTGAAATTGTCTCTTGGTAGCAGTAGTTCTGTCATTACTCTTAACCATTGTAATCACTGAAATGTGAGGAAGAGAGGAGTAAACTCAATCCTGACAGACTAACTTTATGATTTCCCTCCATATCCCTGTATCAAAAGTAGCTGCTTTTGATTATTGTCTCACTTTTTTGGAGAATTCGGAAGTCCGGAGAATCTTGAATTTCAGTGCCTTGTCGAAACCACTTGACATGAATGGGAGGGGCTCCTCTGACCCTACATTCCAATACCACAACTTGTCCCTCAGATGCTGTGGAGTTTTGTAGCTCCTGAAACATAACCATCACAATTAAAATGAACCAGAGGCATCTTACACTCTTAAAAATGTCTTTTCTTCCCTTTGTATATCAACTTCATTTTACTGTGTCATTATATTTTTGCAATAGTCATTTTCTATGAGCAGTGTTTTCACTCTGATTACATTAAAAATATATCAGCTGTATAGCCAAGACCAAAGAAATATACTATTTTCAAAAACATTTTTAATATGACTACAGATCGAAAAGGTGTATGACTTAATACCTCAGAACATCACAACTAGATAATTATGGTCAGATCTTTTAGCTTTCATTCATCTTCTTTAAGATGAAATTAAAATACTGAGTGTGCAGCTGACTATGTATTGATTGAGACGGTCATGAGAGAGTAGCTTTGCTGCTTTCAGCTCATCCTCTAGAATGTAGAGCTGCTTTTCCTCTCAGCCAGGCAAAATTAAATGATGGAAATACGATTAGGATATATTAGCTTGTGTATGGATAGCTTCTGAGACATAATTACGGCTGTAATAGATTCTTATGTACATTTGAAGGAAAATTTAATCTTTGATGAAGAACTACAATGATAGAGCAGGAAGCAGAGTACTTAATTAAGAGAGTACATAGGAGACAGCTACTATTTTTGCCTTTGATATCTATCTGAAGATTACAAAGTAAAGAGTATTTTTTACTCTACTAGCTGTCTTATTCCCTGTCCAGTTTTTTACTAAAATTTTAGGCCTTGATCCAGCAAAGCACTTAAAGTTAGGTCTAAGCTCAGGGTTATCCCTTATTATTTACAGACCTGGGTTTAATCAAATATATAAGAATTTTTTTACATAGAAGCCTAAAAATCTTTCAGTTGTTCCCTGAAGTTTGCAAAAAAGAAATCCGTCTGAGGAAGCTGGATAAGTACATTCTTTGTTCTTGTTCATATCTGGTTCATTTCTTCTATAATTAAAGTTGTTTTGGTTTGGTATGTCCCAACTGGCTTAATTCAGTTAATACTGGATTTCAGAAACAAGGGATAGGAGGCCTGGGAGGCAAGAGTGGGGTTTTGAATGCTTTAGCAGTTTTTGAATGAGGGCTGGATTCTTTTTATTCCCCACTCTTACTACAAAGTTACTTACTTTCCTACCTTGCAGCAACTACTCTCTCTAATCCCCTGCCCCTCTGCTATTCACATTGCTGTGATGCCTGCACTGCTGTTGCATCAGTGCAAGATTATAAGGGATGATGATTATTTCTCACCTGCCATGAGAAACGGATGGGATGGACCCAACCTAGAAAGCTCTGGAGAACAGAGCTTCCTTTACTTACTGTCTCCTTTAGGTAAAACTGTTTGTTGCTCCACATCAGCCTTTAGTCAAATTGTTTTTCTGAAATAATAACTGGAAGTACCTTATTTTCTTCTTTTTGAGTACAATAAATAGTGATTAAGTAACAGTTCCTGCTATGAAAATGTTTGTAGGCACAATGAAAATCATTTCTGCTGTTATGTTGGTCAACCTAATTCCCAAATGTTAAGGTTCATTTGGGGTGAATGTGAGGATAAAGATTGACTTAAATAATTAGTTAAGAATTACTGAATGGCAGTTTGCCTTCTAGGAATTCCATGCCTTACATTTTACAAGATATCCCAATAAACAATATCTGGATTGCATTTTTAACTAACATACCTGGACACATTTCTTCTAAAACCAATTTAAAAATCCTATCTCCATTATTTGTTCTGTTAGTAGATGAATTCATGGAAATAAGGCTTTATTATGATTATGAGGCATGATTGGTGCCTACCTTGTTTTATTTTACAAAGATTTCTCAACGGATGACAGTAATGGGCATAACATATACTGAATATTCATGTAAGTTCTCAAACAATTGGAATAGGGTAGAAGGCATGAGGGATTTCACTGTCGCAGTGGAAACATTTTCTTAGTAAGCCATTTACGCTCAGATGGAAAAGGACCCTCACAATAAAATGGTAAAAGGTTTAATATGATCAAAGAATTCCTGCATTAGGATATATCATTTTGATATTTCCTTCTGGACCGCAGAAGTATGACATAAAAATCATGATGGATGAAACAGACCTTTGTAAAAACAGGTGCAGAAAAGATAGGCTTGGATCCATCTAGACGGTGGAGATGTGAAGTAGGGCTTTGAACCTGAAAAGCAATGCAATCATGTTATGAAATAAAAAGTATATTGGTTAGAATAATAATATGACCTGCATGTATCTATGCAATGATATAAACTCTCAAATGTACAGCCTTATTATGGTGTTCTCATTATAGCCCGCTTGTTGAGTGACATCACTATTTCACATCTGTTACATTTCTGAAACTGAAATGCAAGCTTTAAAGGCTTCTATACTTCCCATCAGAACTTTGTGCCCAGCTGCCATTGCCTTGAAGTATTTTGTGTGTTTGACTTCTGTGAATATCATTCAAGTAAGTTCTTTGCACTGAAGCACTTTGGCATCTTCTGTTATTACATCCCTTAGACTGATATAATAATAAATAACTCAGGTTACCTAAAAGTTTATATCCAGGTTAACCAAAGGACAGGAAAATAAGTTACCATTTGAAGTCTAAGAGAGATTTTTATTTTACTTACAGTATATGAATTATACACAAACTCTGTGCAAGTCATCCATAGAGGCTATAAAACTTGCTATAACCTTAAGAACATTGATTTTCTACATTTAACTTCAAGTCAGTAAAATGTAGCTTTCTCTAAAAGGCCCACAGAGATGACAGCAATATGATTCAAATAACAAGGCATAATAAGATTAAAAACTTTGTTGCTAAAAATATATCATTAATATTGTAGGCGTTCTTATTATACTCTTTTGGAATTGTAATGAGTCACTATCAAGTGATATCCTATGTTACTCTCAGCATCACCAGCACTGTCAGCTGCTCACATGCTGCGACGATAAACACCGTGTAAGAATCCATTTACATACTTACTTTTATGCTCCACCCAACAATTCAATTTTTTTACTATCATTCGTAAGATAATAAATAAGTTTAAAGTTCACACTTCCACAAAATAACAGGCTAAAACTCCCCCTAATTTTGAAATCAAATTTAAAATACTCTTACTAATTTAAAAAATGGTATCTGAATACCTGCTGACTGGGCACAGAGATAGGCTGAATAACAGCAGTGGTGACTCCTGACTTTGGTGTTGAAGATCCTATTGTTAAGGAAACAGAAGTGGTTTTCTTTTGGGCCCTGGAAAAAAAGAAACAAACACTTTACAAGATCTGAAATGAGAATGTGTTAATTTGTAACCAATACAAACCACCTTTTCAATAATTTCATTTAAACTGGTACTGATCATGATCTCATATTTGCATAACCACCTTATAGTTTCATTTTGGACATAAGGCAAATATTATCAGCTGAAAATATCAACATTGGAGGAAGCCTGAATAGAACACAGTCTTTCGCTAATTTACATTTTAATATTGTAATAAAAAGTACTGTTTTGAAGACACAAACTGAAATTTATTTTGTTTCTTTAATTGTAGGCTTCTGCCTAATTTTCTGCAGGTATAGGTCTGGGTGGTTAAAAATGAAGATTTAATTAAAAAGTTACACCTAAATATGAGAAGTTTATATCAACAAAAATGTTTTCAGAGTAGGGCCTCTCTTCCTAAACAGAATAAGCACGTTAATAAAATTCACAGTCATAATACAACACATTTATATCATATCAGAGAAGAGGACAAGCTAAGGACAACACACACACACATACATATCCTGCCCGGATGCTTATTCAGACCTAAAACTACCAAAGATTTTCTGGCGTCCCTTCCTAAGAACACTTGCATAGTACATAGTACATTTATAAGCAATGGTTCCACTTTGCATACTTACTGTGGCATAGCTCCAGATTTTGATTTGAAAATTAAACTTTCACTCTCTGAATCTGTGGAACTGGCACCTGGAAAAGAAAGTATGTTCAGTACTCTCATATCCTTTTATTGATTTCTACTATGTTTAAATTCAAAAGAAAAAACTTTGCTGCTTTTGCACTTGAGCTGACTTGCAACAGGCACTATTAGTAAAAGCACTGTAATACAGAGTTGAGAACTCACTGTAACAAACTACTGGAGCTTTTCTTACCTGATAAAACTTTATAACTATGAACTTTGGACAGTTACAGGAATCACAACCATGCCGATTTAATTGCAAACTCTTTTCCCTAAGTTCTTAGTTGCTCTCCCTCATGTTGAAGCAAACACTACTACCACTGTACTGGAAATCTGTAATTTTATTGACTTAAATGTTAAACTTTTAAAAATCTATTTTAGTATAGGAGAAGTCACTGAACTAACTGGAGGGACTGGGTGTTCTAACAAAAAGAAAGGTAAGAAAACGGTAAGGGGTAAGATATGGACATACATAAGAGAGTTTTACCAGAGGCTGTTTAAAGTGGGAATCATGAAGTATTTATACACATAATATACTTTGCTTTCTCAACTATCAGATAGTGATATTAATTTAAGATGCCCTGTATATCAGTGAAGCTTATTAACGCCTTATACCTGAGCATAAATGAAATGCCTAAAGCACTGTTGTGTCTGATTTTGAAGCTGGTCTTTTTTCCTTTTCAACAGGACTGTGAACTAAATAAATAACATTATCATAAACTACCCCAAAAGACAAATAGCTTTACCCTCCTTTCAGCTTAAGCAAACACATGGCATATTCACAGATAACTAATCTTCGTCCTTAATTAAGAGCAACTCAATATAACAAGACATCTGAAGACTAAACTTCTTACCTACTATCTCCACAGTTCAGACTATTTATATCGAGCTATACATAATATTTACATACTGATGTTTCCTGACAGTGGAAGTTTTGATATAATGTATGTTTGGAAACATTCTGAACTTGCTTAAAGAAATAAAAAAGTATTTATTCCTATTACCTTAATTTTTCCAAACAGCAAAATTAAATAAATAATAAATACAAAATTAATTCTAGACATCTATGCAGTACATATCAATCCTCTATGGATTTGTGCAGAAATACATATAACTGTATTTGTGTATTTGTAGTCAAATCACAAGCAATATGCATAGTATAGTATAGACTGACTTCTGATGAAATAAAGCTTGGACTTGGCACCCATGTCCTCATTTATTTACAAAGTTTAGACTCCAAAAACCCAAGCAACAAGTAGCACTGAAAAGGTAAGAAGAGAGAAGCAATGTCAAGTGAACAGAGCGGGTCTACATGAAAGCATTTCTCATGAGCAAAGGATAACAAAGTATTGTATGGCTGGGACTCACGCACAGAAGGAAGTGCGAGGCATCAAGACTATTACTGTACAAAATAGTGTTTGTATGGCAACCTGGTCTCTTTAAAGACCAGAGGGGAGGAGCCTAATAACAATTTCTACAACTCTCTCATCAAGTTACATGCCATAAAACCTCAAGATAGCATTTCCACATAGTAAGACTCAGCCAAATCTCAGAAAATGAATCGAGACACACTGTCTCTCTCTTTCCAGCTATTTCTTTGATGGTGTTGTTTCTGTCATCATAATTGCACACAGTATTATATATTTGTACTCTATTGGAGTATTTTGGAAATCATCCTTCCCCTGTCAAGAAAAATCTTACTAGAAATCAGAATGATCTTGGGGATCTTGCTAATATATCCCAATGCAGGATAACACAGTTCTGGGAATAAAAAACACAATGAAAGAATCCCTATAAATAATGCATATCTGTCACAATTTCTCTAATGTACAGTGAAAAGGTTATTGCTCTCTTAATCGTAAGCTATTTAATCATTCTGGTATAGTATTATTCAAACTATTTTTTTTCAACTATTTGTTATATTTATTTATGTTTTCAATTATTAAATGAATGTTTGTTAATGAGTTATGAATACAAAACCACTAATAGAATAAGTGTTGCCAAAAATGACTGAAAGATACACGCATTAAAATAAAAATCAGAATTCAGTTAATATACTCATGCCTAAAATACATTCATCTACCAAAAAAAATCCCTTAATTATTTTATTCATGGTCAAATCATTAACTTTCCTCAGAGAAAATAATACTTGAAACATGACTAATATTGAATTAAAGAAAGATTTAGGTAATTATTAACATTTGTTTCTGGGTAAAGTCAATATGATTGACTCTTACCCTGACTTAAAATCAGTGTAACAAACTCTGTGAAGAATTATAGTACGTTTACTGCCAACTAAAGAGGACTCACTTGGGGAATGCACATTTAGATTGCAGTAGGAGGAAGTTCAGAACAAAGATAGGGCTTTACTGCTATACTGAAAACTGTTATTGGCACCACCAGTCAGCTCTTTGATTTACAGAGACTAGTTAACCATATTCCAGAAGCTCTACTTGTTCCTCATTTTCCATTTTTGACCTTACTTCTACCCCAAATAAGTAGCATTCTGACCACTAATTTTTGGAACATTCTTTGAAATACCTGAATTAATATGATGCACTGTTCGAAATGTACTGTATTAAAGGATACAGAGAAATACCACCAAATGCCACTAAATCAAATGCAATTCCAACATTTCAGCTTGGTTATCTTTTTCTGTGTGTGTTGAGTGTCTTCTTTATTTCACCCTTTTTCTTACCTTCAATGAATATTTCAGCAGATGTACTATCTGAACCAACAGAATTTGAAGCCAGACAAGTATAGCGTCCAGTATCGTCTTCAAAGGCTTCTGCTATAATTAGTGAATGAAGTCCTCCACTTCCAGAACGGATCTGAATGTCAGGGGAATTCTGGAGTTCTTTTCCTTCACAGAACCATCTGTAGCCCACACACATTTAAATAGACAAAACAAAAAAAAAACAAAAAAAAAACAGGTTGACTCAGGCTCAGCACACTGAAGACGACTATTGCTATTGAATCAGCACATAGTGCTTTTATGTGCGTTATGGAATTTGCAAAGAAATAACTTCCTTGAATAAACTTTATTAATAAGGTAGCAAGAAATTTCTGAATATTTAGTAAATTGTATACACTGACACTTTAATTATTCGCTGTCCTTTTTGGTGCAATTAATGCTTTCTGTATATTTTATGTCCTAGCTTGTTTTGGCTACAATCTAACTCATCGCAATTTAACTTGCTGCTTCCTTCTTCCTAGTACTCACAGATTCTCTGCTCCGAATGTTTGATTTTTGAGGTAGCAGCTCCTGCTTTTTTTCTATTTGATTCTCTCCTATCAGCTAGTCCTGTTCTCATAGGCTACTCCATGATTTATCCTTATCTTTAGCAGCCCAGCAAGTATGAGAAGTAGATATTTCTTTTTTTCCCCCATGCCCACTATGCATTTCTGTGAAGGTGACAGGTCAGTGAGCCACAAAAGGAAAACGGTTAGGGAAGCACCTTCCCTCCAGCCTCAAACTTTCACTGTCTCCTGAAAACAAATTCTGCCAGGTCTTTCAGAGTTTGTTATTTCCATTCCAGTCTCCCAAACTCACTCTGATCTCTACTACTCTTCCTTGCCATCCTCTCACGCCAAGATCCTGAGCTGTGCTCTTTTACTAAACTCAGATCTCTCTCTGCATTCCTTTCTTTCTCCTTCCAAACCTACTCTGTCAGCACCACAAAATATGAACCTTGCTGTAGTGAGCATAAGGACAAAATGATTAATTTTCAACAGCAGGCCTCATAAATGGTCCCTCATTCTCCTTCATTTACACATACTTTTAGTTCCCCAATGTAGTAAGGAATTTTATAAAAATAAATAAATATCATCACAGATACTCATCGAGAATTTATCTCAAATTAGAAGACACTAAAAATATTTTTTTAAAAACTTAAAATCTGCCACCAAAAATATTTGATGACATTATTTATCATTATTTAGTCTGTACATGCTTCTGAGAGAATTTTTGCTGTGATGGTTGTTCTGTTCTTCTCCCTGCCCCCAGACAACAAAATAATCCCAAGGAGTTACAAAATTCTCCCACATCTCTTTAGGAAGAGCATGGAACACTACAGGATGACATATATCATGCAATAACAATCAGTGAGGAGTCTCTACAGATGAACTGCCTCACTTCTCTTGCCTTTGTTTAAAATAAAGTACATATAATTATCAGAAAGAAAAAATGTTACAGAACTTTATTCTGAAAATTAATTAGATTGTAGAAATTGATATTTCATGTTTATTTCAGAATGCAGGGTAAGAAACCTAACAGATTTACACGAGACAATTTTCCTTAATAACACCTAACTGTGGGCAAGTCCTCTGTGCTTCTGAAGAATAGAGCTTCTATTCCTGAAGGCTCCAAAATGTTGATAATGGCATCAAAATCACATACAATTCTCTTCTGTAATTAAAAGACTAACGAGTTCCTTTTCTGTCTTCTATTGTGCCCAGAAAGTGCATACCGAAAGCATCATTTTTGCAAGGAACTAATAAACTTCCCTTTGTTTACTCAGTAGACCCCTTAGGCCTACTTTTACAACTATCAGGCTCAGAGACTAATTTATTCTGCTAGCTCTGCTGTCAACATTATCATTTCTGTTCCTTCTCTTCCCCTTCCTTCTTCTCCTTGTCACAACTCCTCCTATCTCTTAGTGTGAGGACCTCTGCTACTATTTCTACTGATCAGAACATCAGCCCTAAACTCTGTGCAGCTGTTCCTAAGTTATATTTTAAACAATATCTATGACAGGTTAATTCAACTTCTAGACAATTATATACAAAAGCCCATAATGCAAGGAACGGAATCCTACTTAACCATTAGTCCTATTCTTTCCTTCACAGAAACCTTCTACAAGGGAAAACTTCTTCTCCAAGCCTAATTATTTTCTGAGCTAGATCCCATTTTAGTTTCATGCATATTGTACAGGTTTCTACTGTCTCCCAGAGTCCACGGTCACAAAGTATTTAAGAAATGATGATAAGCACATAATTATAAAGTAGAAAGTTCCTTAATATATTTTTATCAGATGATGTTTAATAATCAAGATGCTTTCGTAGGACGCAAGTTCTATATTGCTGCTTCATGCATGCATATACACAGCTGGTGACATCAGTGGGAGCTACTCCTCAACTCTTGTTGGGGTTGACAATCATTACATGTTTGGTAAATCAGTGATTCACCACTGAAAACAAGTCCTGACCTGCTATATCAGACACTGCTTGCTACGCAGAAAAACACATTAGTAAGCAGTTCAATAGAAACTTATCTCAACCATCATTAATATGATCTTTGATGAATGGGAAACAGGCTTGATGTTTGACTGCACTGCTTATTGTGGAAAGGAGAATTCACCACCCACACTAGGCAGCAGCAGGATTTTTTGAAATGAAGAACAGTGGAGTAGACATAGCTATATTCTCTTTTGCTTTCTAATCGCTTTTTTTTCTTGTTCAGCTACTTGTTGATACAAAGTGAGAAGCAATTTATGTGAATTTCATTTGGAGATCAAATCAAAATTAAGTGAATGAGAAAATACTCAAGAGAAATACTTTTCTTGCAATTAACTTGCTAGTTTTCCAGTTCAGTTCACCAGAGTTTATGAAGACAAGAAGTGTCTATCAGCTAATAAAACTAAATGAAGTATCTACTCCCCGAAGAAAGACCAAATTTCAGTTTTCCACCTTTTATACAGTTTGGGCTAAGGAACAAAATGTTAATCAATAGACCCTAAGATCTACAGGCCTCATCAGCCCTACTGCCATTACACATGGAATACTCATGGTAAGAGGAATTTCTGCTCCTAAGGACTGAAAAAGATTCAAAGATAAATCTTTGAAGAATTCTTCCTTTCTGGAGAGGGACCACCAAAGCAAACAATAAATCACTCTCAAAGGGAGATGGGCCCATATAAACCTGAAGGAGTCATGGCTAGACACAGAAAAACTGTCACAAAGAAAATCTGACAGGAAAATTCCAAGTTTATGCGAACTAGGAAAGCATTAAATCATGTGCAGTCTATTCCAGACTACTGATCCTCTTGGGATAAGGGTATTACTATCCAGGTGTGAGAAGGCAATAATAATGTTGCTTCTGGAGAGCCAAAAAACCCCAAACCAAAACAAAACCAAGAGACTCTTGAGAGTAACACAGAGGAACAAACCCACTGCAGATGTTTTAAGAAAAAGAGAATTCCCGTATAGAGATCGCTGATATAGTTAAAAAAAAAAAAAAAAAAAGCGTCTATTTCACAGGTTCTGGATACTGAATGGAAAAAAGTGATCTACTCTTTTCACTAACCCTTTGCTGTAGGTTCTTGATATTATATAAAGTGTATAGGTAGAAACAAAACAGAGCGAGACCAATAAAAGGCTTTCCATATGTGTGCACATATCAGTTCACAGAATGAGAAACCAAGAATTTTAGCTTGCCTCCATGGCCTACAGGCCATGAGAGTGTTCATGCAAACCTGTAGAGAACTGTCCCCTGGAATGAGCACGGAAAATGTAATGATGGCAGAAGGTGGGCAAAAAGATCAAATAGAAGGAAAACAGATTTTATGTAATTTGAATTTGTTTTATTAGTTATTAAGTATCTTACCAACTTTCATATCACATTGAATTTCTCTGCTCTTTGCTTCTTTCTCCTCCATTCTCTGCCCAGCATTTTTATTCCTGCCCGCATTTCCACGATACTAACCCTGGCTTTTCCGTTTCTGCAACAATGCTTAGTTTTTACCTACACTGTACCTTTCATGTACTGCACGTTAAAACAATAGCAATTAAGTATTTAATGTGGACACTGAAACAGAATCACTGGCCTAGAAAGTCAGTATTCCAAGGAAGCAAATTAGAGGCATTTTGGCACCAGGCGAGAGGAACAATGGTTAAGACACTTGCTTTACATGCTCCAAAGCCTAATTTGTTTTTCCTTTTGCTACATTATCGTATGACAGCAAAACCTGATTAGCAAACAAAAAAGGACAGTCAGAGATGCAGTTTACATATACTAACATTAAGTAGCAATTCGTACAATTTGCCTTTTTTCCTCACTTTTCTTTATATTCTGACAATCCTCTATGTAAGGAAATACATACAAGTGTGTGTCTGGGATTTTAATGACTGTGAACAAAATATAAACAGAGTTGAACAGTACACTGACTGAGCGAACACCAGGGCCTTAAGAAAAACAGTTCAAGGTTCTCTCTAATGCATAATCCTGCTGGACCTGTGTTTTCTGAAAGTCACTGAGGAATAGAGAGGTTTTCCTTTCTGCACACTCTTAAAAATTAATTTAAAATGGCAGCTGAAGTGAAACTTTAAGATATAGCCTAAGGGAAGTATTATAATAGAGAACTCAGACCACTACAAATAGTGGAGAGAGATAAGTTGTAAATTAAAAAGTAATTTTATGCTTAGTGGTGTTAAGTATGTCCAGCAAGAAAAGTCAAAAATGAATACTCTAATATTCTTGTACTGGGAAAGTCAGTATTTCCATCAAAATACTGTATAACTTCCATTTTGTACTTTTCCCCATACAAGTTAAGCAGGCCAGCACTTCTTGACTGTAAAACATTATTATTTAAGGAATGTTTTTAGTTTGAGTTTAAAAAGAAATCACCTTCACCACAAAAGAATTAGACTACACTGCAGTAAATAAATCAGTTTATTTCAGATACTTGTTACCTGTGCATAGCTCAATTTCTGAACAACTCGTAATGCAATATTTTTGTTTCATATATAATTTTCTTATTGGTATAGGCAATTCATAAAAGAGTTAACAATAGCAATGCACATACTTTAAATGTTTGTATTTTGAAAACTTAAAAGAAAATCAAGATCTGAATATAGATGCTTAAAATCTGGTGCTCCCC